GGATCATTATCATGTTGAAATATAATATCTTTAGGAGCTAAATGATAATATCTTAATGAATACATTAATTCTTCTTTTAAAATTTGTCTATAAAGCTTTGCATTAAGATTTTCTTCAATTATAGATAAATATCCTGTATCATAATAAGTAAAACATCCCCATATATTAATGTTATCTTTACTAAATTTAGTTATAGGAATTATATGTTGATCCTTTAAAGGTTCTATAGATTTTCTCCAGTAATATTTATGTTCTTCAGCTCCAAAAAGTTGAAATTTAGTTTTATCAGACCAAACCATCATACTTCAATCTTCTATGGTCCAATTTTTATGTAATTTTGCAAATTATAATCAGATTTTTTTATGTGTTTTACTTAAAAAAGGCTTCTTGTACTGTGTATATGCTTTAAATCCATTTTTCTTAAGAATTCTTCGAATTGTGTTGACATTAATATTTATTTTTCATATTTTATTAAGGATCTACATATATCCATGGCAGTTTTATATTTTTCTTTTAGAATTTTTCGAATGACAATATGTTCTTCACATAGAGTAAGTTTAGGTGGACGACCAGGAATAGGTTTATTTTCTAATTTGTTTGTTTCAAGATTTTTTTTTTAAGTCTAGTTATAGTGGAATAATGAACATTGTTACCAATTTTGGTAGCAACTTGACGTAAACTATAACCTTCTTCTAATAAGGTAATAAATAGCCTTTGCCCTTTTCTCTATAGATAACTGTCTTGAAAACATTTGGTTTATACAAGGTTTGAATAAATTTTCGCATTTTTATACTGTATTTTTACAAAAAAATGCCAAAAGTCACACAACAGTAAATTTTTATTAATTGCATCATAAAATTTTTTTTTATTATTTTAATCACTATTCTAATGTATACACCAATAGATTAGATTATACACTGTATATATTATAAATTTCCTCATGATTTGATCTGATCTGATCAAAATTTTAACACTTAAAGATCGACGATCAGGTGTTGCGTTCTTTTTGGGAGACGGTGTATCCCACACGCCTTATTCGAGAGCCAGGATCAGAAAAATGGGAACTTGAACCTGTGAAAGCAATTGCTTTAGAATGAATCGAATCTAGACCATTTGCAAAATATAAGCGCCCAGTTGGAAAAGATGAAATGACGTTAAAAAAAGGTAATACTGTCCGTTGCTTACTTGCCAATGCAGAATGGGAAGGGGTATGGAGAATCAAAGGCGAGCAACCAATTTCACATTTAGTCCAAGTCTTCATAAAATTCGAAAAGTTGTCGTCATAAAGAATGTACCGGTTTTATATTATTTCGATGGAGAATATACACCGTCTCGTGGATTTGTGCGAGAAGAACTTATGCTAATAGCCAACCTAGAAAAAGTTGGGTATCCACCCCAAAGCATATTACCTATACATGTTTTCTATGGTTCCGAAGGGAAATAGATCAGGCTGAGAAATATGCCAAGAAGCATGGTGGTCAATGTCTCGGCAGAACTGGTCGAGTAAGTGGTCATGACGTGTATATTTGGTTTTGTGAAAACATCAGTGGGAGTATCCACTAAAATATATTATGAAAAAATTCGAATGGTGTCCGCTATGCCACCATAGAAGTGGTGAACGTCAATGCCGATATATTTTTGAGGATCAGTTAGGCAAAAAATTCCCATCATCCAAATCATATGGCATCTCTTCTTGAGTCATCATTTATTGAATTGGAGTCGCCATCGTGCGTATTCTCCTCATCAAAATACACATCATCGTCTGGAGTGACCGTGTTCATTTTAGTGGAATTCGCCTCAATGAAAAATATATCTTCATCAAACCACGACTCTTCCTTGGAATTATCAGAAGAATTGTCATCAGCGTCTTCGGCGGAGACATGGGGATAGATGCAGTTGATTCCTTTGGAGACAAGATTTCCAATACATTATTCTGGTTGGGAGTATTTTTCGAAGATATGTTCTGGGAAGCGTTCGCTGGTGAGACGCTTTGTTCCTTTATAATCTTTCTAATTTGGCCGTTAGTAAGTTTTGAAATGAAATTTACACTATAAGTTTTAATAAGTTTGATTTTATCTAGGCCTATTTCTTAAATTTTCAGAAAGATGTAAACCCAATTTTTAAGATTTCTGTTTGCGAAGCAAATTATGTTTTGTAATGGAATCATATATTAAGCCTCTTGCCTTCTTTTCACCGAATTTATCTCCACTAATTTTTATAATTCCATTGAGCCAAATTATGAAATCCTTCGCATAGAGGCACCAGCATAAAATTTCTTCCTGATTTGCACAATTTGCACCATCTTCAACATCGAAAGCTTTATTACATCATTGAGCTAGACGTTGCAATGCCTCGTCGATGTTAGATTTTCCGGGACCGGCGGTCTCGGAAATTCTGGTCACATATTTTTGTTCTATTGGCACTTGTGAAGCAACTCCGGAGCAAATAATTCTTGCTTAAGCTTATCCACACCCTTCCCTTCTTGCACTTTGAATTCAGTTCGCTACATATCTTTTCTTCCGATGACGTGCTATTGCATGAGAGAGTAACCGAGTTGAGATCTTGAGACATTTTCTTTTCGGAATGTGTTGGAAGGGACTCTTGGGTTTTAAGTTTTTTTCTTTCGGCTGTGCGCTCCCGATCTCTCTGTCTAATTCTTTTTCTTGTGCACCTCATTCAAGAAAGCGTCCGTTTCCTTGTCTTCAGGTAACGAAGTATCCACTAATGGTTTCTCGTAATGTGATACCGTTGGCACATGATCTGCAACCAAATTGAAGTTAGATGAATTGTTGTTAGAATTATCATTTCTGTCTGCAACTGTTCCACTTTCGAAGCTCAGCGTTCTCTTTAGTATTATTTTTCCCCAACTCCTCGATTGTGGCTCTGAGTTTGACATTTTCAGCATTACGCCTCGTTCTCTCTTCCTCAGTCATTCTTAGAGTCTCGGCAATCCTGCGTTTAAGTTCAGTTCTCTCAGCCCCAAAGTTAGCGGACTTCATTCTAAGATCAGTATTTTCCTTTCTAATCTCTACATTCTCCTTCCTGAGCTCTGCAATCTCAACATTCTCAGACTCAAGCTCAGTGATGCGCTGTTTCAATAATTCAAGCTCTGATGGCATGATCTCTATATATAACTAATACACTATATATAAAGATTCAAAATAAAAAATTCCGCGGTCTCGGAAAATTGTCAAGAAAAAAATTTTCATTAATGCATGCAAAAAAATAAATACAAATGCTGCCCTCGATACATGACGTCTATGTTATTATACATGATTATTTTTTCGAACGACAACCCTCTACCCTCATACACACACTCCAACCTATCTTTAAACAATCCATCGATAACCTCCATAACCCGCTTCACGTTTTTACGCAAGTCTTTTTCTTCTTCCGATTCTTCCTTCAAAGCAGATTCTGAAAATCGAATATTGATGAGATCCTTGCTTGTGCTTGATATTCCATCCGAGTATGAAAAGAATAAAATACCATTCCGAGGCTGTTGTAACGATTCCGTAGATATAGTCGAAGTAATCCCTGAACGTTTCGCCAGATTTTCGTTTCCTATTCTTTTTATTAACTTGTAGAGCGCTTTCACATTGGATCAAATTTTGAGCAAAACCCATAACCACTTGATGTAGCTTCCCTTCCGTGATGCAAAGAAGTTCCTCGAGGGATTTGATTGCGTAATCAACTCGACCGGTACTTTCTTCGCCAACAATTTCGAGCTGAGGAGCTAAGGTAAGCTCTTTATCTGTTATTCTTTTGACGATATAGAGCGAAGCGTGAAGAATAGTTGAAATATACTCGCAACGCATGGCTTCGCTACCACCGGCAAGTATGCTCCCCATATTTCCCAATCTACGCTTTATGTCCTTTATACATTAAACTAATTTTTCATCGTCACCGAGTTTGTGGGTCGCCTAGATGTCAGACCGGGTGAAGAAAAATAATGAGTTATTTATATCGATCATGAACGTAAATTAATGAGCGAACTCCTGCAGCAATAGAAAACTCACTGGTTGAAATTGACGAATAGTGCCTATTCACCGTCAATTCCGTATTTCGTCAGCACCTCCTTAAAACTGCAGTATGAGAAAACCGCACACCTTTTCTCCTTACACTCCTTAGCGATGTCCACGAGAGCTGTTGCAGGTCCCGATTTCATTTCATGCCGCTCATACTCTTCCTTAGTTATCTTGAAAAAGGTACGGCCATTTATTCTCTCCTTCTCAATTATATCATAATCTTCTGGTTCAAGCTCCAATTCTCTTCCTTACTCAAGAAATCTATTAGCTACTTCGTTTTATATTTTTTAATTTGTCCGCCAACGAGATCGTCTCATTTCCAGCAACAGTTGTGGAGATGGAAGCTAGAATATAAGGTGTACTAGTTTCAGACATAGTGTTGCGTTTTTATAGGGTCATTTGGTTCGAACAAAAAAATAGTGGCATTGACATATGTTTTTATGTCGCACAGGAATTGCATCCCAGTTCTCCTGTACAGCCAATGAAATAATAATACTTTATATAATGTGAATAAAAATTTCTAAATATTTGTTAGAGGAAGTTTTGGGAGTAGTGAGGTGTACAATGATCATTAGATTATCTTTTTTGGTATCAAAATATTTACCAAGTGATTCAAAAAAACTTCTGTTGATTCTCTGATAATACACAAAAAAGATGTTTGGCAAAATTTTTTAAATCTCTTGACTAATAAAATTTTATTATTATTTTTTAAACCAACTTGAAGAATATCTTCAAGAGTTACTACTATATTTTTTTTTGTTTGCAAATCTCTTTGATCAAAACTTAATTTTTAGTAATTAAAAAAAATTAAAAAATACCTTTATTACTAATAATAAGGAAGTTCTTAAAGAAAAAAGAAATTTCTATAAAATATCTAAAAATCTCTCTATACTTTTGAAGCAAATTTTATAAAAATTCATTACAATAAAAAAACTTATTTCTTCTCTTGTCAACTATTACCTTTTTAATGTTTCTATTTTCATGATTTCTAGAAAATTTTATCTATCTCAATTTGACCCTAAATTTTTGGATAACAATATTTAACAAAAGTAATTGGTTAATATAAAACATATTAGTTTTGAAAATATAATAAAATTCCTATTGGTTATACTCATATATTTTAATAATGTTATTAATAATTAAGAAATTTTTAAATCAAGTAAGTTTCTCTGAAAAACAACTATAATACTGAAAAATAAGTGACAATTATACTATATAACACTATATAATACCTTCATTTTTAATAAATTTCTCAAGTAAAAAAAATTTTTTTTACTGAATAAAAGTTGAATCTTTAAGTTTTTATCTTAATCAAATAAAATTCTTAAAAAACTTCTTTATCCTGATCAGATAAACTCTTAAGTAATATAATACTGATATTACTAGTGTGATAAGTGAATTTATATATCAGTTGCATAATAAATTTCTTAAATGATCTTGAATTTTCTCTTATTTAGAAATAAATAAATTTCTCAAATGTAATAAAGTTAGAAAATATTTCAATCAGGAAAATCCCTTTCAAGAGGAGGTTGTTAACTATATTAAGAACCTTTTAAAAAACCTTGAATTGTTTCTACTATTTCTTGTTCCCAATTATTTTAGCAATTCATTGTATTTCAAAATAATCAACAGCAAAAATTGTTAATAATAATCTTGATAATTAGAAGTCAAGTATAAATTATCAGAGGAGTGTAGTATTGTTCCTTAAATCTGACTTAAAGTATCTAGTTGAGACTTAATTTTGTTTGATCCAAACTAACTTAGTAGACTCCTCATATTTTTTAAGTAATGTAATCCTTTAACTAATAATGTACAAATATGAGTTAATCATCATGTGAAAATCATTGTAATATTGTGATGCTTATTTAATATCTCGATAAAGACACGTCATGACGGCATGATTGCGAGTAAAAAAATATATTTATTTACCAAGTGATTCGTTTGTTTTCATAAGATTTTTTGGATATACGCTATTTTTATAGAGATTAAATTTAGGGATATCGATAGGTTTTTCAATTTTGATTTTGAGTCCTTTAACACCACTAGTCTGGAAAATACTGATCAAAAATTTATCATCCTAGCTTTATAAATAACCAGTGACCATCATCTTGCTTTACTAAATACAAGGCTCATAATGAGAAAAAACTCGCTTCCATACATACATAATTTATGACATATACAGTACACACTGTATCTTATTTTGCATTATGTTTCTAGAAAATTTTTGCGGAATGTTGTTTGATCTTTCTCCTACGTCTACATGCTTTATATCTTGCTGGGAAAAGTTAAGGGGATAAGAAGAATAATCACATTGTCGTATGATGCCAAGAGTTCTATGAAAGGACATGCAAACGGAATCTTCTTACCTTTTCACATGGAGATCTACCGGAGAGACACATAGTTGGCCTTACGCCCGGCGATCTCAAAATTGCGAAGTCCTCAGCCTTTCATAAAATATGCTTTTGTCGTCAATATCTATTTTTACGATAGATCCTGTCTTGTGTGTAGACTTTATTTTACTTTTTTTTCTCATGTTTGTTTGTGAAAAAATAAAAATGTTTTCTTTTTTTATGCAAAATTAATGTCACACAAGACCTGACTGAATTTTTGTCGCACAGAAAAAAATCTTCCGAACCGATGATCACCGCTCCGGACTAGTTAGTATCACCATTCCAATGCTAGTTCCCGATTAAGAAGTTCAGAAATAGTGTCCATAATCATCGGAGGCACATTGTTACTACAGACATCTTCATCAGAAACGCAGTCAGGTAAATTTTCTATATGAATATTTGGATTTAGCTGGTCCATGACTTTTTTGCTAATATTTTCACATCCTTCCAAATCTAGAAATTTTAAATTGAAACATATGCGAGCAATTTCTTTGGTAGTCGTACTAGTAATATTACAGTATCCGAGTTTGAGGTGCTTGAGTCTTGAGCAGGAACGTATAACATTACAAATTTATGGTTTACTGACAAATGAACTGCCACTTAGCTCGAGAGCTGTTGCTCATCATTATGGCCGATCTCTAATTGTCTTAAATTCGGAGATCCCTTGATGATGGCTATAATTAATACGTCATGCAAAGACCTAGCCCCACTAAAGTCAAGATAAGCTATATTGAAACATCTTCGCTAGTATCTTTGCTATCTCCACGGCTAAATACAATATCAAGTTTTTATGTGAATTTGGGCATGAGCTTAAGATGCAACTTATAGATTTATCTGTAACCCAACGCGCTTCGGCAAAATAAAACTCTTGCAATTTCTTGCGATTTCAAAAAAAGTTTTATTGCTAATATTTTTGTAGTAAGAAATATTTAGATGTTCTAATTTACAACATGATTGCACAATTGCCTATAAACCCTTATCGGTTATTTGAGCTTCCCACAAATTAATATATCTCAAATTAGGATATGATTCCGTTATTATAAATAGTAATTTATATACTTTCTTTGAAATCTAAATTAATTATATTCGGAAATGTTTTCACAATACTTTTTATTTTTTTTTATCTGAAAATGAATGGTAAAAAGTAATTTCTAGATTAGTTGTATTTGAGACATAAGCTGGCTTATGCTTCTCGCTCATTATTTTTATCTCTTGCAAAATAATTATAATCTTCTGGAGAATAATGCCCATATCTCATATCATCCCCCTTTAGCTCAATGTGTTTCATAGAATAGAAGTACTGCATCTGTACCACAATCGGAATACAAATAGCGCGGGATACAGTGTCTTATCTACTGCTAGGAAATATAGAACTCGCTTCAATAATTTTGCAGACAGAAGTTGATGGTAAACGCCAGAATGAGAGATGAATTAACCAACTGGAGCATGATTATGTCCGAAGCGAGCAAGAAATTCAAGATCGTAATAGGGAGATAGATCGCCTTGAAAAGGCTTCATAAGAAGAAATATCAGAACTGAAGTCCGAAATCTCTGGCCTAAAAATCAGCTATATCAAGCTAAGAAGGATGTGCGAGATAAGGAAAAATATGTCTTTAGTTTAGAAAAACGATTAATAATCTGAGGAACAGATAGAAAAATTGCGATGTCGGATCAGAATCATCTCATTACGAAAAAATTCACTAGAACGAGGGAATTCTCCAGACTTGTATAATTCCGATTATAATATGACTACAATCACGGAGCTAGCAAATTCTATTGATGGCTACGTGGACAATAGGGCAACAGCTAGAGATATTCTGATAAATCAAATAAAAGGGCAACAAGACAAATTCGTCGAAAAGAGAATAATTTGCATTAGGATTTAGTCCGTGAGCAACGAAAGCGTTATTATGCAGAGGCCGAGCGAGATTTTGCTATTACGCGAAGAAATCTTGCTGAAGGAGCGATGGAAAGGGTTTTTGGCTAATGCCCAAAGTCAAGTAAATGGAATGCTAAGAAATATAACAGGAAAGCGAAATGTATTGGTATATTTATACAGGAAAAATTTGCCTTACAGTTATTATATCAGTCTGATATCTGTTTTTCTTATTCTTCTATTTTGCTAATCAGATTAAGACTGTATTGATTCGTTGTCAGACTCTGAATCCTCTTTATATTATATTTCCTTCTCTCTTGAGGATGTACTGTCTTAGTCTGAAGTTCTTCCTAGTGAATAAAAGTATATTGTCTTAGGGCATTGACAAAATCTTGTGATAATGTAAAGCAGATAAAAATATAACCTCTTCTCTTTGAGTGTATATAGGTTTTTGGAGATATGGCATGTTTTGGCCTTGGTATATATAACTGTTTGTACAATTCGACTGGTAATGATATTGTGTATTCCATATAGTTTGAAGAATTGAAAATTGCATTGTTTGATAATTTTGTCAATTTTTTCACCATTAAACTCAAGTTAGGTAAAAATAATTCTAATAGTTTATGCATTAATATAAATAATCCATCCCCTTTTAAGGTTAATATATTGTTAATAAAGAATAATGTATATCTTAATTCTTTATTACAATATAAGTACAAGTATTTATAAATATAGATATTTATTATATTTTAATATTTATAAATAGTAAATTTAATTTCTGAAAATAAGTAGTTTTACTCAATATCTATTAAAATAGCTATCAAGAATATTTTATTTTATTTTTTTTTTTTTAACTAGTTCAACTAATAGAATAAATCTTTATTGAAATATCAGCAGTATATTTTTAGATTATATGAGCCATTTGTATAACCTTTTTAAACTACTTATCCCTAGTTAAGTCCATCAATTTTATTATATAGTGGCATCATTTTTGTCAGTTGCCCTACTCTGCCTGGGCCTATAGCATTCTAAAGATCTATTATGGACTTCTTATTGTAATCTTCAAGAGGCTTATGATGACATTTCTTAATATAGTCATGTTTTATTACTTAATAATAATAAGCACCATAGATAATCCTTACCATATATAGTCCTTAGAGGGCTGGTTCAAATCTGGATTTTTCTATACACAGTAATCATGTAATAATATCTAGACAGTTCAATAATGTGCTGTGCAGATGATATATAGTCTCCCATTATGACCATTTTTAATTACTTCTTAGGTATAACCTACAGGTAATAATGAGTCCCTAAAGTATTTAACATATAAAATTTTGCAGATTACTTATGTCTCTTTTTGAGGAACAAAATTCATAACTCTTCACTTTAATAGGGACAAAAGTTGGAAAATATTATAAATTAATGATTTAAATAATAGAAAACAATTGTAGATAGTTTTTTTATAGTTAATAATTTAAAATTTTTAATTTTTCTTAATAAAGAACATTTGACTTTTGTTACTGTTTCCTCCTTTAGGAATCCATCTTTACTTACAAGAGGTATTTCTTGATCAAATGAGATCTTAGATCTCTTCCAAATACATCCATACATTATGGTTCCCATTATAACACTAATGCTAATCACCAACCTCATTACAATCTATCCTCTCTCTATTAACCATTGGTTTCACAATCTATAGAATCTTTTTATTAATTCAAGTTTGTTATAATCTATTACATTTTTTATTGGTGCAAATAACTAAAGTCTCCCAAATCTCACATAAGAATGTTTTTCAAAAAGAGAGAGATGTCAATATTTTCATTGGAGACTTGAACCAATCAGAATTATTTTTTGACTTTCTTAATATCTTTACATATTCTATATGGTGAGGATCTTCTCTTTTTCCTGGTACTAAAATCAACTAGGGCCTGTGTGACCTATTTTTTATTACACCATAGTTGAATAGTAGGTTTCTATAAATTGATTATATTCAAGCATACATGTAATTGATTAACATACATTCTTGTGCAACATAACCTATATTGTGAAAACTATTCTTTAGTGGAATTGAACTAGTAATTTACAGATAATAACCTGTGAGTGCATCCACTGCACTACTAATCTATAGTTCAGTTTTATTTTTTTTCATTTTTAATTAAAACATATTTTTACTTATAGATTAATTAGAATTTGTTTATTTTTTTATTTTTATAGATCTGATAATAAAGTTTTTACTTTTTTTTTTTTATTAATTTTTTCAAGATATTATAAAATATTTTTTTTTACAATAAAATATTATATTGATATTATTATTATTAAATTTTTTAAAAAACTAAAAAAATTTTAATAAGTTTAATATATTCTAAAATTATATTATTTGTTTGGTTTCAATTTCTTTCAAAAACTTTAAATATAAAACTATCTATTTTATATTATCTTTCAAAAGTAATTAATATTAAATAGCTTAATCTATTTTTTTTTTTTTAATACCTATTATCAGGCCAGTACTGTGTATTTATTAATCATTAAGAAAACTGATCAAGATACATAGAGCAATTGCATCATGGCTAAACAAAAATCTTGTACTGATACAATCGTCAATAGCTTTCAATTCTTAAAAGAGCCTCAGCCTCTAAATGCAACCTTGAGAACAATATTTCATTCCCAACTAAGTTTTGGATGAAGACCCTTCTAACTTACCCATCATTGCTAGTAGGTTGTCACTGCTTATTATCCTCCAAGGAACTGAATTTGAAAAATTACAAAAGGGGAAAGGAAAAATAAAAGGAAAGGTGAATATCTAAAAATGTGCAAATGCACTATATTAAAATGAAAAATAAAAAAAGAAATTTAAAATTGCTTCATGTTTTCTAAAAAATCTTGGCTAAAAATCTCTTTTCATTAGAAATTAACCCTTCTGGGATATCCTTCTTCTTCCTGACTGTCTGAGGAACTTATCCATCCATGCTCTTGATTATTTTCTTGTGACTGTTTGAGGTACTTATCACCTACTCAGATCCAATATCTTGCTCAATGCTTCCTTTCTTTCGATTTTGATTTTTTATGCACCTGCGCAAAATAGAATAGCTAATAGTAAACCTCAAGTTCTTATGTAGCTTTTCAGTCTTGTTGTATAACTCCTGATATCTTCTAGCAATCATGCCTAGTTAAAGGAATTTTATTGATGTATATCTTCCATTATCCAAAAAGCCAGATTTCACAACAATTTTTTTGCCTTATAATGGTGGGAGGGTCTGCAAAAGTATAGAGATCCTTGTCGATTACGATATTATTACATAACATCTGGGAAAATGCATTCTCAATCCTAGAGAAGGGCAGTATTTTACATTCCTTTGCTTTTCAGTCTTATAACCTGACTAGGATAAGGAAATAATCTCCTTCGCGTACTTTGCCTGATTAGAATAATAAGAAGTTGAAGGCCTCGGCTTGAACAAATAATCATCTTTTCACCATCTAGGGAATTTAGTGCCCATCCTAATGGCCTCATAATTTCTTTGCTTCAGTTAAACTTCATTTGGAGAAGTAGAGGAGTTCGTATCCTTGATTTCTCTTTCTATCACCAATGACGTCATCGGAATACATAAGGTGACCAATAGGAGCTTGTTTACATCCAGCTACTAATATGTTTCATGTTAACCAATCAGATGCCAGGTGACATTGTGCTACCAAAATTCAGGATCAAACTGAGGTAGGCAAAATCCCTCAAGAAAATCGTGAAAATCAGTAAGC